TTAAGGGTGATTTGTTTATTATGATATAATAATACAAAAGTACGTCAACGATATCATTTCGGTGAGAGTGATCGTAGTCCATGTACATTATATCATATGTATATTCCGATATTCGTCACCGCGCGGAGTAGATCTCGGCTGAAACCGAAATAAAATATAATTTTCTGCTTCGTCACGATCGTAATACCTTAAGTATTATRCATTTAAACGTAAATAATTATCATCACGTATCGATTTATATAATTTCACTTGACTGAGGGTCACAGACAGTGGCAGCGGCGTTCAATGATCGTCAAGGACGMGACGACGTCGCGTGTATATATTTGCTATATAGCTATAATATAGATAATATTATATATTCCGGTGAAAATCTGCGAACGCATTTCTGTACCATTTGATATAATAATAGATATACGCGTACATAGCAATATTAACTATTAAGTCATGTTTATACGTAGGTACGTATATATATAATCATGTAGGTACCTATATATGTTTTCKATAATCTAACGATTTGAGACACTTTGCAGCGTTGCAGGCTGCACGGTAGTCGATATTATAACTGCAGCACAGTCAGCGCACTATACAATAAGCCTTATATTATAATATCAGAGCAGTACGAGTACATTATAATAATATATCTACGGATAGTTGCGACGACGCCTGTTAATTGCATCCGTATTAAATACATTATATCACAACCGAGGACTTAACATTCGGCCGAGGCCGCGGGCACGGCCAACGCCCGCGACCTGCAATGTTGACGATTTGGATTTCTCAACTCGGACGTCGTCGGGTACAACAACAATAAAAATAATACTTAGTAATAATGATAATAGCTTAAAATATAATTCGTCCATACAATAATATTACCTATTGTACATATAATTTATAATAGGTGCGATGATACGGACAACGCGTAATAACGTTATATATGAAAATTGTATATATGTATAGCGCTTATAAGATTCTATATCTGCAACAGTTAATCGAATCTCCTAGATTTAATAACCATACATGCGTACTTATATATAATTGTCTACTGCTTATAAACAGTCGTTCCGGTAATATCGAGATATTATCACGGACCGTTATGTAATTTTCGTTTAGCGCGTAACGAGGAGACTTAAACGATCGGGTGTTTCAACAGGTGTCATCAGAGCCAAACATATTATAGACATCGTAATGTTGTAGGTTTATTATAAAAATGTTATCAGGATATTATAAGAAACGAAACGATATTCATAAATAATTACAACATTCTATATAGGGCGATTGTTCTTCTCCTTATTTTTCTAGAGTTGTATTGGGCCCCAATGTTTACATCTCCGATTTCCCTCATTACCCATATCTATAAACCTAGCTGTTATAATATTTTGGCGTTTCGTGTACGGTCTTCAAACCACTACTGCATTTAAAAATATATATTATATACTATTTTTTAATATTATAATTTTTTTAAGTTTTTTTTTTATTAATGATGCTATATTATATATATTTAATTTCADCACATTCTGAAGCAAAATTTCAATGTAATTCAAAATATAATAGGTACCTACTCAATGAGTAGTTAATAGTTATAATTATTTAGGTAGGAATATGCATTTAAGGTTTATATGACCCAATAGTGTGGCGAGGACAGAGATACTTAGAATGATATCCTTGTTATGTTTAAATATRAAATTAAATATGTACCATGTCATTTAAAAAAATTAAGATCAAGAAATAATAAAGATAAAAATAAAAAAATAATTTGTTTTGGAAGTGCCGTTTTTAAAGACTTCAAATTATGTAAAAAAAAATGATTTCAAAAAAGTAATACTTTTCGAGAAAACTTAAGTTTATTTTTATATTACTTATACTTTTACACCTTCTCTATACCTATAACTAGTTGGTAAAATTAAATTTGTACTTCTACAGCTGCAGGTTATAATAGGTATATATCATTGATTAKGTATTTTTCACGAATGTCTGAGTCGGTAATGATCTTAATAAAATTACCAGCACGGAAAAAGTGATAAAATTGTATCTGTACAATTTAATAAATTTCCCCGAAGTGGCCGACCAAGTTTTTTTCACTGTTATTTTCCGATTCTCCTCGGTTCGTAAGTAACCGGATAACGAAGAGAAGAACAAAGTAAGTAGGATAGAAAACTGATGGAAGAGGCATGCACGCTCGCGTGAGAGAGAAACAAAATGTCTGCAAACAATTTCAAACAGATCAATCAAAAGCGAAATATTAAATAAAGATCATTTATAGCTTTTTATTGTTGTGCGTTACGGACGTAACCGACACGCGTTGACAACTCAATTCCGTCACCGTATATACATACATTCCGTTATATTATATTGTATGTCTATTCACAATGACGCAACCATATAATATTATATATTATTGTGCGTATGACCATTTATAATAATCGGATAATAATTTATTGTTCCAGGGACATCCGGACGACGACACCAAGCCCAATGAGATCACAATGTTGCTGACATTTCTACTGGCAGGTGAGTGAGACGGGGGTGGTACCATCGGGATGTCTGTAAATAATCCACACGACACACACACACAGTTGTGTACACACAACTTTAGTACCAGCTATCCGTATGTACATGTATAGATGTAGGTATAGAAAAATCCATATTATACGCTGCAGCACACATCATGCACACGCGGCCGTCGATACGACACAATATATTAATAAATCAGTGTACAAAAATATGAAACAATTCACTACCTATTAGAAAACTCGCAACCGAGTCACGTACTGATGGGGGAAAATGAGAATGGAAAGAAAAAAAATGGACAAAAAAAAATCCATTTATATTTTATACGTTTTCAACAACTCTCTCGGTTGTTTTGTGTTATGTATAGTAAAAATATTCTTCGTTGTCATTGTATTATATTATTAAATTGTCTTACATTATATATTATAGGTTATACCTACGCCGGTCTGTTGCTTGCAACGTTATATTGTGTTGGCAAATGATAACATGACAAAATTCCTCAAATTTCTATTATTATTTTTAAATTTTATTTTTCAAAGTCTATATACGAGTTTATTAATATGTACGTAGTATAGTTGTCACTTTAAAACAATAAAACCACTGAAATAAATTTATATCAATAATTATTATAGGTAACATGTGTTTTAAATGTTGGCTGATTTTGTGAATTACTGAAAGAATAATTCAAACACTTATAAATAAAAAAAWTTTTATCAACATTTYGATAAACCATGATTGATCTTTTACCAGTTATTATAATATCGTCAAACAGCATTAATTTATTCATTCATTCTGAAAATGGTAGATTTTATGTATATACTTATATAGAGAGACTTGTTCTGGCTACAGCCTGTTTAGCAGAGATCACAATCCAATTTTACATAGAATGATGTAACTGTATAATGCATAATATAGATTACATTATCGCACTGTAATAACGTCCTTGGAAGGTCGTCAAGAATCGTTTTAATCGTTGAAAATATGTACTAAAATTCCTTATATATACCTATATATATATAATCATTATTAAAGGTAAATCGATACTTTAACAAACATTATAGTGAGACTGAGACATACTGCCACACTGGCACAAACCAGATATTTAATGTTTACTAATACTAAATTATTACAATGGTTACGAAGGTATTAGTTCCACATTTTTGTGCATTACAAGTTTTTTTGTGAAATTTAAATCAATAAT